CTCCTGATAATGTCATAATAATAAAAATTTGGTTGATTGTTTTTTACAAACAATTTAGTTTTTGATTATCATAATATTTTAATAGTAACAGTAAAAACAATAGTAGTAATAAATAATAATAGAATAATAAGCATAGCAATAGTAGATTTGTTAAGGCTAACTAACCAATCTCTTTGTTGTGGTTGTTGCTGTTGTTGTGGTTGCTGAGGGTTTTCGACTTGCATGACAACAAGAATGACTAAATATTTTGAGATCACAGACAAAAAAAATATAGTGCGCGCGGTCTAAAGACCTTCTAAAATTTTAAAATATAGAAGCTACTTTCTGTCTCACCTTTTAAAAAATAGTTCTGTTAGTTTTAGTTGATAGAATAGGTTTCTCGTAACTTTAATATGACAACAGATTTTCTCAAAATTGTTTATTGTAAAATTTGTAGAATTCTATATATTAATATATACTATTCTTTTTTTAGTAGATGTATGTGTTTTTGAGGAATTTGGCCTCGAGTATCATTACTAAATTTAGAATAGTTACGAAAATCATATTTAAATTTGGAGGTATCAAATCAGTTTAACTGTTATATCAACATTAATAACAAATTTATATAGGGAACTATCTACGTTTGAATGTCAGGTGCTAAATCTTAATACCTTTACTGGGTCTGATTTAGTGGGTAATGGTGAAAGGTTGGTTTCATGGTGAACTTATTAGTTTACTAGGGGGCAGTCATTTTCTTTTTTGTGTAACTCATGTATATAGGGAAACACAGTATGTTTTCATTTAAAATCATGTTTTAATGTTCAACTCAGTCAATTAATCTATGGGAGCAAGGCTTTCTCTGCAGAAGTGTGCGAGGGAACAAGGATGGATATTTTTTTTAAATACTTGTAACAAACAATTATCGTGCAACGGCCCACTATGATTTGATCGTGTAACCTGACCCAATATTCTTCACGGTTATGACATATTAATATGGAAAAATTATGAGGACAGAAGTTACAAAATGATATAATTCAATTAAATTTACATTTGTTAATAAAAATTTATTATATATAGAAAGATTATCTAAAAATCTATTTAAATTACATGATTAATGAACATCTAGTAAAATTAGGAGATTACAACATGAAAAAAAAAAAAAATAAATGATAATATTAACATAGAACTCAGTGAGATTACAAAATTTTTCTTCTTTTCTTTAGTGGTACATTGTTCGGCCATATAATCATCATTTAAAACAAAATTTTCATATTTATATAATTTTTAACATGTAAACAAATAATCAATTAAATATTGACAAAAAAAAAAAATTTAATATTGAATATATTAATTAAATTCATTTAATATAATCTTTGATACCTAGTACTAATAGTAAATAGTTTTTTTTTTTATTATCTCTTCATTTAATTTTGAGATTGTCTTGTGTCTTTCTTATTTAATTCATACTATCTTAAAAATTCTTCACAATAAACAAAAGCTTTGAATTTAAAGATTATTATCATCTATAATAATCATTAATTTATTTATTAAATAATAATTAAGAGTAATATTATGTTTTCATATATTGTCTAAATCATTATTAATATAACAAAAGTTAATGCAAAAAATTTTTTTTGAAGAGTTCTTATAATAATAAATAACTTATAAAACCGATTTTTGCTTTTAATTTCTTCCTTCCCCAAGAAAGCCATACAAAACATATATTTTCTAAAAGCTCTCGATGTACTCTGTCTTATCATCTCAATAGAGCTAATTTCCGAAAAGAATTAAGCTTCCGGAGTCAAAAACCATAGGTTTCTTTGAGAGGCTATTACTCCATAACTGGAAGAGCTAAAGACGCATAAAGCTCGCACTTTAAAGGTCAAAAGTAAGTGATTGTTTTTACTTAGAGGCACGAAAATTGTTTAGTAATGAGTTACGTTCAATTCATTCATCAAAGTCCGTTGTACAGAAAACGTGTCATGTCGATCATATATTAAATGTCGTCTGACTGATATAGTAAAATCAGTAAACGTGAAATCTTGTCTGACTGATAATAAATAAGATTTTGATTATTCCAATTGTTTAATTTTTGAGGAATATATAATTGGAACAAATTTAAAAATTATTACTTTTTATTATGTAAAATAAAACAAAATACGAGACTGATAAGCCTGATTTGCGTCAAACAAAATCCGAAAAACATTTTTCAATTGTTACACCAAAATTATTATGTCAAAATCCGAAAAAACGTTTTTTCAATTGTTTACATAGCTGCACAACCAAAATTATCACTTATTATTATTATTATTATTGGGTAAAATATGTCAAAAAGGGTTTTAAATTGTTATGTACTGTCCTACAACTGCACAACTAAAGTTATTTGAATATTATTATTACGATGATGGTTGTGGTTGTGGTTGTGATGGTGATGGTGATGATTGTAGGAAATAATATTTTGACCTCATACAACTTTAATCTCTGCGTTCCGTAAGTTTCTAATAATAATTATCAAGTTGCACAATGATCTTTAAGCCAGTAAAATTTAATTTCTGTGTGAAATCAAATGTCCATTATGTTGCCTGTGGGTTGGGGAGGTAAGGGGAGGAAAAAGAAAATTAAGCCTTTAAATGACTTCATAACAGTTTAAAAACAAAATATTAATATTTCAATTAGAAACAAAATTTCAAATTTTGCAAACTTTATTATGTTGTGAAAAAATCCTCATTAAATCAATTTTGGGAATATCTCAACGATCTTAGGTTCATTTTGAAGCTACAATTCTATCATCCATTATATTAAAAAATCGCATATTGTTGTTACGAAGGTTTTGATGTTTGTTGATTTTAAAATATCAACCAATTTACACTTATAATTGATAAATTAATATTTTCAATTCTGCCAATTCTTGGGATAAGTTGATGATCTTAGACTCATTTGAAAGCTAAAGTTCTATCATTTATCATACCAAAAAATCGCACATTATATAAATGCGGATTTTTTTGGTGATCAATAGATGATCATCACATTTTAAAACCATTCATTGGTCTTTTCATTAAAAACCAATGCAAAATCATGTTTTCTTGCCATAAAAAAAAAAAAAATGCTCGGAAGGTTGGTCATTTGAATGTCAATTTTAAATGACACAGTCATTTGCTGAACCAATCATATTGTTTAATTTTAAATTCAAATTTTAACATTTAATCAAATGAATTTACAAAATCAGGTATTCTAAATTATCATTAAAAAATACTACACAGACTTTATTAGGCAATTGGATCATCAGCAGGATGTATAGTATGATCTACAGATATAAATTCTAAAGGGTCATAAATTTCGAATAAGTTCTACCCAATCTTCAGTTCTGTTAATTGAATTATCGGTTCCTTCTTCAAAGACATCTAAATCCTCTTCTTCAAAAGATGCTAATTTTCAGTCATTATTTTCAATATTATCATCTCTGAGTGTCATATCATTAGTTACTTCATTTGCTTCATTATTATCACCAATAGATTCTTGATTATGGGAATTGCAATGTGATTTCTCTTATAAAGGTTTCCATATTTTTTAATTTCCAACTATTTTTTCTTTTGAAATAATTCACTCCATTCCGAGAACTTTTTCATGCTTTAATAAATAGATCTTTAATTTTTATTAATTAATCATTTTATAATAAACTTAAAACTATTTTTTTTTTTATATACATAAGGACAATTCCCTTTTTTTGAATGTATAAAACCCATATTGGATCAGAGTCTTTCAATAGAGGTAGAATTTATACAAATTTCATGCAGGTGAAGAGCTAATATTCACAATTCAGGTGCTTCACTATTTACTAAATCTCCAAATCAACTACTTGACAATCAAGTTGACTAAATGTTTTCATATCAAAAGAAAGTATAAGCTTTTTTTTTGATATAATGAATATCCACACAAAATTCTGATTGATGATGCGCCAAATCAAGCCAGATAAAAGTAATTAATCCACTGATCAAAATAAGTACATGAAGGATTGTTTATATTATTTTTAAAAATGAAATTTTCTATTATGGGTGAAGACCAATGATAAAAGTACATCAGGAAAATGCTTTTGAAATTATACATAGATCCTACATGTAAACAGCATATAAACACCATATCATGATTTGTATATGATTGACATATGTGTGGCTTTTTCATAACGTGATTTGCACATTATATGTATAATTCTTATGTATTATAAGTATAATAAATTACACCTATAGTATCTGTGAACTAATCCAGTATTGTACATATAGTTCTCATATATATATTCTTCCATGTCATGATTTGCGTATTATACATATAGTTCTTATATGTTATAAGTATAATAAATTAAATTAGTATCACACATATAAATTGCATATAATAAAAAGGCACAGAATTGTATAATTCAAAATTTACTGATAGTAATGTAAATATTTAAACCTTATGTTTATTTTATTTAATTTTTTGAAAATACAAATATTTATGCATTGGGAAAATTAATCTTCAAAAATGCATACAATTGTAGGGTTAAATGAACAGCTGTTTGATCATTGTACATATAATTTAAAGATTAATATAAATAAGAATCATATATGTTAAAAAATAAAATGATAAATAAATAGTTTGTGTTAGTAGTAAATAAATAACCAATTCGTAATAAATTTTTTTAAATTTAAAAATAAGAATATATAAAGCAGATTGTGAACATTATAATAATATGGGTTCAAAAATTACGTGTCACAAAAATATTGGATGCTGCACAAAAAAAATAATTTGTACGAGCACTTTCAATAGTAATAGTAATAGTACTTATAGAGCGGATTTCTACGAAACTGTCAACATTGAATATTTGTACGAAAAGTAGAAAGTTTTTTTCCGTATATAATTACCCATTCCTTCATTAATCAACTTTTCACAAATAACTTTTTTTTTTTTTTGCTTCCTTCCCAGCAAAATGAGTTCAATTATTCCCGTTAAATGTAACCAAAAAAAAAAAAACTAGAAAATGGAAAAATTCAATACAAGTCAGGATTTCTCGTAGCACTTTTACCGTTTTCGAAAATCATAGGAATATTCTTGACTTCGTACGGAAAATGTGAAAGAATTAACGAAATATTGAGACGTTTCAAGTTCGCTACCGCAGAGGAATACGCACGGGGAGCAATCGATGAAGATGTAAACTGTCGTTCTTCTGTGTTTAGCTCGCAATAACAATAAGAATGGCAGTAATGAGAGAACATCTACCGAGATGAGTATAAGGATAAACCTTAATTCAGACAGTGCTAGGAATTTGGTTTATGTAGTTAGCCTATATTTCAAAAAGAAAAATAGAGAAAAGCTTTTCTTGAATAAACTAGATATTTCCTTTTCATATAACGGAAATAAAATAACCTAATAAACTATTTGAAGCGAAAATTTCATTGATATTATACATTCAATCAAGGTTCTACTAAAATACAATAATAAATCTTTCTCCCGCTATTCAGAAAGTGGTGAAAGTCTATAGAAGGATTTTAAACACTCGTTTAATAAAAAGGCTGGGCTAAATTCGAGCTTTTATTTAACAAAATGATAGTTGAAACCCATAAGTTACGAAGAAGTTGCTATTTGCTAAGAAAAACCAATCCTAGGAAGAAAACAATCAAAACAATTCAGGCTAAAAGATTGAGATTGATAATGACCATTGATGATAATAAAAAATAGTATAGATACTTTTATCTACCCGAATGACCAGAGAAAAAGTAATGCTCATAAATGGCTTCCCATTGTAATTTCTCGAGTATAGGGACATTCAGTATGGTAT